TAATTTAAATACTTTAAATATCTTTAATTAAATCCACTGTGCTGAATAATACCAAATTCATTAAGATGAAAGTGATAGGTTGGGATGAAAGGAGTCATCTTAAAAAGCAGTTCATTCAGTGCATGGTGCCAACAGGTTTCCTCCTGAAACCTCCTCAGGATATGTTTTACAGACACTGGGAAGTTACAGTGCTGGTATGTCGCAACCAGGTTTTTCCTTCCTCCAGTATGGCATAGGGATCACTGCACAACTTAAGATTTTGCCATTAGGGTGAAGCAAAATTCAAAAATATAATAATTACTAAACACTATGTAGGACTTTTGTCTGAAGCAAAGGGGTTTTAGCTGTTGTTTTCCAACAAACCTGCACTCAAATACTTTCCATTTCATTGTTACATAATAGTACTTATTCCTTCTCCTGATCCTAATCTATCATACAGGTTTGACCTTAACTATATTTGAGGAGATGTGATTCACTCCACAGGTGGCTGCATTTCAGCAACTGAATAAAGTGGTCCCACTGCATCATTTTGCAAATTTTGTAGAATTATTTAATGGAAACATTTTATTTAAATGTAAATTATTTCACTATTATAATCGTAATCATCAGTATTATTACTGCCATTGTCATCAACTACTAGGAGTGAGTATTAAGAATATTTCTATCCACTTTAGGAGTAGAAAGAAGTCTCAGAAATACAGCAGAGGTAATTGTCTATCTCTTCCTTAGTGTGAATGGACATACAGTTTACTATCAACTTTGTATTTTTTTACTTAACTCAGGTAGTAGTAAATGTAATGAAAACAGTTCAGAGGTATTTGTCTGAGTTCAGCAAACAGGTTGTTTTAAACAGATTTAAAATTAATTTTGCATTATGTCTTAATTTTCCTGGCAGACTTTATTATTCCTTTGTAGGACATCATTACACTGGCTATGTGAAGCCCTCAAAGAAATATTTTACAGGTGCATCTCACCTGTTGTTCCTTGTGATGAAAATCACACCATTAAGAGAATGGCTGAAAAAATGTTCAATGTGGAAGTGCATTACCTCGTTATCTAAACATAGTGCATAAAATGTATTCCTAATAAAATCTGTTATTCATTATGAACATAGTCTGTGCTGCAACAGCAGGGAAAAATTTGTCCTTTGTACTTTTGAAGCATTCTGGCCAATGGCAGAAAAATATTTGGAGTTGCCCAAATACAAATCCCGGGATTTAAGAGGATTCAGAACCAGTGCAGGTTTTACCCATCACAACACTCTACATACAATTGATGTATGCAATTTCTCAGTCCCTGATCCTTGCTTGGGATCCATGGTGTCCATGGTCCATGAACAGCACACAGAGGTGCTGGAGGGTGGAGCACACTTGATGGCAGGACATGGATATGTCAGGATATGTCAGGAACCTGTCTGAAATCCCATGCCCTTCCCCACTTTGGAATGGCTTTTTAACAGGCTTTTTAATTTCAATGCCATCAAGAAGACTTGTCCATTTCCTCACCATCTGAATGCTCTCTTGATGGCAGTAGGTGTCAGCTCTGTCAAAAGTGGAGCACCTGTTGGATCTCTTAATCATTATCCTGATGGAAATTACTATTCCTTTTCTGAGAAGGGATGAGAAGATCTCATAATGACTTCCAGGAAGATAAAATCTTCTGATTAGAGTATATCACAAGAGGAATATGTTCCTCTGGGGGTCCTGGTAAGTGAAAAGTTGAATATGAGTCAGCAGTGGCCCAGCAGCCAGGAAGGCCAAACCTGTCTTGGGGTGCATCAGGCACAACATCACCAGCCAGGCAAGGGAGGGGATTGTCTCACTCTCCTCTACACTGAGATGGCCTCAACTCAAGTCCTGGGGGCAGTTTGGGGTGCCACAAGAGAACAAAGATAATAAACTACTAGAGAGTGTCCAAGAGGGCAGCAAGGATGGTGAAGGGCCTTGAGGGGAAGCTGCTTGAGGAGCAGCTGAGGTCACTTGGTCTGTTCAGCCTGGAGAAGAGGAGACTGAGGGGAGACCTCATTGCAAGTCTGCAACTTCTTTGTGAGGGGAGGAGGAGGGGCAGGCACTGATCTCTTCTCTCTGGTGACCAGTGACAGGGCCTGAGGGAATGGCCTGAATTTGTGTCAAGGGAGGTTTGAGTTGGATATCAGGAAAAAAGTTCTTCACCCAAAGAGTGGTTGGGCACTGGAACAGGCTCCCTGGGGAAGTGGTCACAGCACCAAGACTGAGAGAGTTCAAGAATTGTTTGGACAATGCTGTTGAGCAGATAGTGTTACTCTTGGAGATGGTGCTGTGCAAGGTCAGGAGTTGGACTTGATGATTCTTGAGGGTCACTTTCAACTCAGGACCCTCTGTGGTTCTGTGAGCTCTGACTGGGCAGAGTAAGGCACTGAGCTGCATCTCTCATATCCCATTCAAATACTCAGTAGCTTAGACCAGGGGAAGACTCCAGCAGCCATATTTCAAAAGAAATCAATAACTGCCATTGTGTTTTATGAAAAATCCAATTTCAGAGCTCTTTGGTAGAAATTCTTGGAGTGCTCAAATCAGCCCTGAGGGAAGATAAACAGAGGAACATATTTTTGTGTCTGAACTAAGGTGGTGCCTGAAGTGGATGCTGGGCAACTTGATCTTTTTAACACCAAAGAGCTGTTGGGTATGACCCAAATTCAAGATGCCTGGAAAGCTTTTGTACTGGCAGCTGAGCTTAGAGTTTGGAAACCTCCTGAAGCAGACAGCAGAATCTCTATTTTGGATGTAAGCACATAAATTCCAACTCTGCCAGGTTGTAAGCACCTAAGTCCTCTTCTGAGTAATAAAGCCATGACAGATACATCCACACCCTTCCATCTGAACTCCAAGATTTTATTCTTGTTGCACATCTCAGGAAACTTTTAAACCTTAATTTATGCTAAATGTATATTGAAGAGTGTGCTGGTTTTGGCTGGGATAGAGTTAATTTTCTTCACAGTGGCTGGTATGGGCCTATGTCTTGGATTTGTGCTGAGCACAGGGCTGATCATATAGGGATGTTTTAGTTATTGCTGAGCAGGGCTCACCCAGAACCAGTCTTTTCTGCTCCTTGTGCTGCCACGACGGCAAGGAAGTTGAGGGTACATGGGAGGTTAGGAGGAGACACAGCCAGGACAGGTGACCCCATGTGACCAAAGGGCTGTTCCAGACCGTGTGGCATCATACTCAGTACATAAAGTGGTGGGAAGAAGGAGGAAGGGGGGATGTTCAGATTGATGGTGTTTGTCTTCCTGAGTAACTATTATGTGTGATGGGCCCCAGCTCTCCTGGAGATGGCTGAACACCTGCCTGCCCATGGGAAGCAGTGAATTAATTTCTTGCTTTACTTTACTTGTGTTCATGGTTTTTGCTTTCCCTGTTACACTGTCTTTATCTCAACCCATGGGTTTTCTACCTTTTGTCCTTGGATTCTCTCCCTCATCCTGCTGGTGGGGGAGTGAGCTAGCAGCTGTGTGGGACTTGGCTGCTGGCTGGGTTTAGACCACAACAAATAGCATTTTCATCCTGAGTTTTCCTTTCACCATTTCTTGCTAAACTAGCATACAGCAGACATGAAAACACGTGAGGGGTTTCTATAACAACACTGTGGAATAATAAATTCTACAAAGCAACTCTGGAATCTACAAATGATGTAAATGTTTTTTTTTTAATTTAATTACTATCCACATTTGTGTCCAGCTTCAGAATAATACAGCTGCAAAAGTAATTAATTAATATAGGAATGCAGTTTAATAACAGCGCAAGGGTTCTGTGTTCACCGGTTAGTTATGGGCGCTAGCTAGCATGTTGATAACAGGTTGTTGCCATTGTTGCCACCTCATTAGAAAATTACCATTTAATTAACTTTGGAAGATATGGAACAATTTTGGTATGGGAAATATTTGTACACATTGTCTATTGGAATTAAAAGCTCCCATCCAGCAAAAAGCACAGCAGCCTCTACAGCTGGTGGCTGTTGGCCCACAGAAACTAAACAGACTCGCTGGTCTGTGCAGCTGCAGCCGCTGCCTTTGATTTGGAGGGGAAAGGGAAGCTGTGAGACTGTTATCCAAGGCACCAGCTGAAAGGAGTGATCCAGCTGTGACGTCAGTGCTTGCCTTGCAGGCACTGTAGCAAGTCCCCAAAAGTATTAATGCTCAGACACTGCGGGCTCCGAACTGTCGAGCAAAAGTTTTAAAGGAAAGATGGCTCTGGTTCAGGCTGGGCTTGCTGCAGCCTCCCCTGAAGCCGGTGGGAGTATTTTCACTGACTTCACTGGGCTTTGGATGGCCCTGCTGGGGTTTCCTGGCCTGAGCATTGGTGCTGATTTGACCAGGTGCGGGGAGAGGCAGGTCAAGCTGCTCAAAGGTTAACCACTGCTGGTTTGGAGGGGCGGAGGGTGGGGAAGAGAAGGGACAGCTAGAAAGCAAATGGACAGCTGAAAGGCAGCTGGATGTTCTTGCTGTTGCTTTGTTCCTGTTAACACTGGCTGAATGGTCTGAGGTTTTGTATGTTCTTGTGGATGAAAAGATCCTCTTTAAACTTCAATGTTGAAAAATAGCCCTAAACCTCCTGCTGTCAAACCCAAAGCAGAAAAAAAGCTCCTGGTTCCCAGGATGAATTATTTTTCTGACCAGCCTCTTCTATGCAGAACCAGAGGAGCAGTCAGATGACATTGAGCCTGACTCCTGCGGGGTGAGGAATTCACACCTACGTGTGCCAGCTCTGCCATGGGCATCTGTGGGGGATTCCTCCAGGCGGGGGTAAATGGTTATATCACCTCTGTCATCCCTTGGGCTCAGGAGCACATACTGCGAACCCTCTGCACGTGTTTAATGTTGCACATGCAAAGCCATGGAGTCGTGCCAGCATCCCACAAGTTTCTCCCACTGACGTCCCCTCAGCTGCAGCTGCAGCAGCAGGATCTATCCTAACCCCAGGCTGAACCAGCGCTCTGCAGCAGCCAGCCTGCCTCAGCTGCTCTGGCAGCCCCGCCCCAGCGTCTCCAGGTACTTCTGAGAGAGATGTCGCTGCCCTTGCCAGCAGAAGCTGTGCTCCCTCTCTTCGCTGCCCTTCCCCCGTCCTGCCCAGCGGATTGCCGCCTGCCAGGAGCGCTGCGGAGGGACATCAGGGCCTCACTGAGCAGCAGGCCGGGTTGTATCGTGTAAGGCTGCCTCCCCTGCGGGATCTCACTCCTGTCAGTGCAATGAGCTGACAGGTAGGCACCGACAACACCCATCAATCACGCCCTTAAGAGCCTGAAATGCTGCCATTTCTCTTGTGGAGAGCAGCAGCCAAGCCGACAGGCTGCGGGGGCTGTCAATGAGGCAAATGTCCTCGTTGACAGAGCTGCTCCTGAGAGGATCTCCCACAGTCATTCGTGTTTATCCCAAGCAACTGCCCCCCATTCTTCCTCCTGGTGTGAGGTGAACAAATGCCAGAGCTGGAGGGATTAAGAATAATTGTGTTGTGATCGGTGCAGATGGTTTTTGAGGCAGACGCTGAGGTGTGTGACACGGCCCTGCGCTGTCAGGCCGTGAGGGAGGCGGGTGCCATGGAGTGAATTCCTTGACACAAGGACAGACAGACCCAGCGCAGCGGGGCTGAGGTGAGGGCTGCGTGCCTGCGCTACACGCTTTAATTGGTGGCAGCAATTAAAGGCTCTTTGTGCCTGTGAAGGAAGTGATGTAGATGAGCATATCCTTCACCGTTTCTTTGAGGGGAAAATTATTTGGGCTTGAGAACTGCAGCGGCATTTTATCACCCCAAAAATCATCTGACCCATTCACAGTAAGATTAGTGCTGAAGGTCAAAGGTGCACCTAATGTAGCTCAAAGTCTTTTCCTGCCTAGCAGCAGTGGTTAAATACAAGAAGGGAGGGACAAATGAATTAGGAAGCACCACAAAAAGCAGCAAACAAACAAAACTTCTCATTAAAATCTCATTCTGTGTCAGTTGTATTTTTTTCCACCACTAATTCAGAAGAACTGGCTGTTTCTACCTTACAAGTACACCTGCAGGCTTATTGTACAGAGCTTGTGTTGGGCCCTCATGGACAAATATCTGTTGCTGTGTGAGTGGCTCTGTGGGAAGGCAGAAGGACAGATCCTTGTCTGCCGGGGCCTGATGAGCCACTGTGTGACACAGACTGACATGGGCTGGAACCTTCAGAAGAAAACACCACAAAGTCATACATTTTTAGGCTGGCCTTTCCATTTACATTTTCCTCTGTTTACACATTGCTCTCACAGCCAGTTATTTATCTTTGGTGTGATTTTAACCACCTACTGTGGCACTAAAATTCAAGAATATGGTTTAAAAACCTACAGGCCATTGTAATTTAAGCCTAGAGGCACCCACATCCCTTTTAGTAGATCTCAGAACTCCTAGGAGCAAATGCTTTCTATTCTTGGAAACATTTAGGCATTTGAAGGAGTACAAATTGGAACGCAGAGCCATCATCGTGTCGCATCCCTGCTCCATATACTCCATTCCCCTCACTCTGAATACCTGTGGGACACATCCACATAAGCAAACCATGCCAGGCCAGAACATGGTTGTGCTTCCCACAGTTGTCCAAAATGCTTCTTTGGCATGTTTCTCCCCAGCAAGATTCATGCTTCAGCCCACCTGCTATCGCCAGTCAAGGTCTGGTGGCAATCTGGGACACTACATCCATCTCTGCTTGTCCTTTATCTGCCACCTCTGCCATCCCTGGGTACAGACATGCAGTGGCCAAATCCTTACAGCCCATCCAGTCCCTGCTCTCAGAAAATGTATAGTGAGTTATGCTGCTGAACACTGATGAAATTTCAGGTAGTGCTAAATCTCCCAACTACACACTACCTACATTCTGGCATTTCACTAATTTGAATTGCTGATCTATTTAAAATGTAAATTGCTGATCTATTTAAAAGGCTACAGCAGGAGCACAGTTTACATGGAGATCCAGCTGGGATGGAGGGTCAACATTCAAGTTCAGTGTTTTCTTTCTAAACAACTTGGCTGCTAGAACAACACCTCGAGGATTTGAATTTAGTAGATCAAATTTTCTTCACAGTACATTCCTACTGACACCACTTAGGTCAATGGACCAGCTTGTGAACTCAGTTAAATCAGCATGTATTGGGAGTAACATTACAGAGAGTAGTGGAACTATTCCAGATTTAAATTGGTGATAATGAGACCAAAATTTGGTCCAATGTACTTGCAGAGATCTGAGAGCAAAGCATTCATTTCCATCCTGAAGTAAAATATACCACCCTGCAGACTTTTTTAAATCCTTGAACACAACTCTCTTTGTAACTATAAGCATAAACAGAGTGAATACTAAGAGAATAAAAGATTAAAAGATATCCACTAGATTATACCAAAACTAGTAAAACCTGGGAATGTTCCTGGATAGATGCAAAATTAAACAATCAGATAAGCTACATTAGTTTTCATATTATGAGCTTGCAATTTTTTAAATGTTTTAGTTTAACACGATATTTTGAGATGGGAACTATAATTCAAGGGTCCACCTTTGCAATAAGGAGGTACATTACATTTGTTAGTGGCACCAGCATCCCTTTTTATCCATGTTATTTTGTCATTTTATCCATTTTATTTTATCCATGTTTTATTAATCACTCATATGATTCTTTGTACTTGTGGACTTTAGACTTCTGACTAAATACTGGGCAATTCCTTTCCTTTTACTCTTCTCACCTTAGCTGCTTTGTGATTTACCAGCTTTTCCAGTGATTATTTCAGAAAGTGATTTTTTTTACTATATGCATGAAAATTTTATTGTTGATTAGTTAAAGTTCTTGAATGCTTATTCATAGAAGAGACCTCCCCCTCTTTAGCTTATTGGAAACATCTGTATTCTTCCTGTTTAGACAATGAAAAGTGGTAACTAGAACTCTGACAGCTGAGCTCCCTGAGTTAATATGTACATGATGCAATCGTAGAAAACAATATGCTGTTCAAAAATAAAAGTATGAACTGGAGAACAACCATAACAGCTCTAGCTCCTCCAGCATTACTGGAGCTCAAAGACCCTGCCTATTTGGGCAGAGGAACAAAAATCTCTATATTGCTTTCCACCAAATCAGTTACCTTTTCCAGGCGTGCAAAATTATAGTCTGGAAGGGTGGGATCAAAACAAACAAACAAACAAACCAAAACCAAAACCACCACCACCACCACCAACAACAACAACAACAAAACACAAAAAAAAAACAAACAACAAAAAAAAACCCACAAAACCCCCCCCAAAAAAAACAGCAGGAAAGATTTTTTTTGTGATTTGAAAAACATAGAGAGATATAGCAAATATATATATCTTAGCTCTCCTGTCCCTTTCCTTTCAAATTAAATGAGGACTCAGAATTGAGTGGTAGGAGAGGGAGGTTAGGACAGGGGAATAGGGGAAAGCTGAAGAAAAGCTTTAATTCCTTTCATTCAGAGATACCTCTGAAGGAGGATGTTTCCCATCCTCCTGTTCTAGGAGTCCTGTTTCTTGGGGCTTGCCTTATTTTTCCCCCTCCATTCTTTTCTTTCTTTTGAGTTATATCTACATGGACTGGAATTCAATATAGAAGAATGGATATACACATGGGGGAGGCTCAGCTGTGTAAACCACTACAGTTTTTATGGGAATCAGTGTAGCTGTGCTGATTTACATGACAAGAGGATCACACCTTTGTACCTGGTATTTAAACTGAAATAGCAAACTATTGGTGGCCTAATTTGGACAAGGGTTGTATTTCTGTTTTAGCCAGTTTCTGATATGGACTAGGGGGGAAATACAGAGATCTTTATTATCATCTCTAATGAAAATCTGAGCTCCAAATTTGATAGTATGTGACGGTGCATAAAATTAACTAGATGTGTCAGTTAGCAGATCTGGCTGAAGTTGTGCCTGATTATATTCCGCGTGCATATTTGTTTTCAGTCATATTTACAGGGGTGCCTCTATCCTGATGCTTCAGTTAACTGTTACTTTGAGGAAATAAACAGAGGTGAGGGTCCAGTCACCTTCAGCTGTTGGAAGTTAATAAGGTGTTAATGAAACGTTGGCAAATAGCAGCAGTTTAGCACTTGGTTGACACTTGATTTTTAAAAGAGACAGAGTGTAAATAAGCTGTGTTTGCAGTGAAAATTAGAAAAAGTGGGAGGTGGGGGAACAAATAACACTCTCACAGCTTATTAGTTTTAAGCAGGAAATACTCGATAGACCACATCAGGGAGAGTAGCTCTGATGCTGCAATCACTGGCAGCAAACAATGCCCGAAGGCAAAGGGGTTTGCTTTCATACAGGCTTTTTAAGACACTCTTCTAATATAAGACCAGCCAATGCACATAACAAGTGTAAGAGGACCCTTGGCACCGCTGCCTCTGACCTCTGGAAATGCTCAGAGGGAGCATCTGGCCCGTTTCAGACCACAAATCCTAGGAACCCTTGTGGTTGTTTATGAGGGATGGGCAGTCTATTTCTGCAGGACACTTAAGGCTGTCAAGGAACATGAACTCTGTTATTCCTGCTGCGTTAAGGACAACAAACGACACCTTGAGAAATGGTAGCTCTCTGAAGATTTATTGACTACTGTGTGCTGTAGCAGAGTTGTGGGAGTGATCTTTGGGATTCAGGGAGCAATTTAGGCTTGATATATATTAGGCAACTCTAAATAAGATAGTACAGCATCATCCTGAATGAACCTTGCCTTTTTACACCTCTCGCAGTATATGAGTGTGTACAGGAGATGGTACAGCCAAGCTTTCTTTACGGTGTCTCTTGCTCCTAGATCTGAAAAAAGAGGAGGATAGTGATGAACCAGGAACTTCCCTGGTGTGGGAGTAGAATTAAACAATGGTAGTTTGTCAGGCTAGCATTTCAGTTGCTAATTGTCTGGGTAGATCATTAGCAACTTTGTTTTAGAATGGTTTTTTTGAATCAGGGTCATTGACATGAACACCCAGCATAGATCTAGGCTAAGTAGGGATGTGAATAACGGTTCACTGAGAAATTTCTGTTCATACAATGGAATCAAAAAGATTTCTTGATAAAATGTTCATTGACAGAAGAGTTAATGCCAAGACCATTCAAAAAGGGAGATATCCTGGGGACATCACTTTTTCTGCATAGTTACAAAGACATGGTTTGTTTTTGCAGGTGAGTAGTGTGTGAGTGATGCTTCTTTGCCAGGCTGGAGAGATTGGTGGGTTGTGGCA